CAGAGGCGCAAGCGTTCTCACATGTGATTTAAACCATGTTTCTTCTCAGAGCTAGGCACATTGTCATCCTTAATTTAAAAGGAGAAAAGAAAAAAATCACAGCTCAGCTAGCAGGAAAGAAGAGGCTGTTAGGGAAGGAGCATTGTCTGCCTCAATTTCATTTATTGACTGAACAATTCTCATCAAATTTTTTAGTCTCTGGTACATCAGACCTTTCAAAATGATCTTTGCAGCCGAGCATGGTGGTGTGTACATCTTTAACCCCAGCATTCAGGAGGCTGAAGCAGGAGGACTGTCATGAGCTCAAGGCCTGACTCAGCTATGCAGTCAGTTTAAGGTTGGCCTGAACTACATAGTGAGACCCTGTCTCAAACAAACAAACAAACACAAAGAAACAAAGGAAAGGGGACTTGCAAAAAATGTGGGGAAAACATAAGCGTATTTCTGTGGATAAAGTTTTTTTTATATGAACCCAAAAGCACAGGTAACAAAATCAAAAATTGACAAATAAGATTAGCAAACAAAACAAACAACAGAGTGAAAAGACAGCTTACTTAATGAGAGAAAATGTTTGCAAATTCAACTGTGTGTGTGAGAGAGAGGAAGAAGGAAGAGGAGGAGTAAGAAGCTGGAGGAGAGAGGAGGAAGAGGTATAAGAAGATGAGGAAGAAGAAAGAAGGAAAAGGAGAAGGAGGAGAAGAGAAAGAGAAAGCCAGTCAGAAAAAATGGGCAAATGGCAGTAGGAGTTGGGTTTGGAGGTTAGGTCAAGGGACTAGGGGTAAGGAAAACCTATCGGGGATAAATGACCTGAATGGACCTTCCTCAAAAGAGAATATACAAATGATGAAAAGGGAAAAGAAAATGCTCAGTATCAGTAATCATCAGGGAAATAAAATCCAGAAACAATGAGATATCTCACCCCAGTTAGAATGACTCTTTTCAAAAAGACCAAAAGTAAAAAATGCTAGTGAAGAAGCAGAGAAAGGAGAACTCATACACCATTGGTGAGAATGTAAATCAGGATAGTCATTGTGGCAAATTTTATGGAGTTTCCTCAAAAAACCTAGAAATAGAACTACCATATGATCCAGCAGTCCCTACTGGGTATGTATCCAAAGAAACTGAAATCAGTATGTCAGAGAGACATCTGCATTTGCATGTTTATTATAGCACTATTCACAATAGCCCAGGTCCAGAATCAACCCAAGGGTCCACACATGGATGCGTGGATAAAGAAAAGGGAAACTTACCAATAAACAAGAATGAATTTCTGTCATTTGCAGCAACATGAATAGTACAGGAGGAAAGTAAGTGAAATAAGCCAGGCATTGAAAGACAAATACTACATGTTCTCTTACATGTGAATGCTAAAATGTTGATCTCAGAGAAGTACACAGTGAAGCAGTAGTTAGCAGAGCCTGAGAAGGGGTTGGGGGAGGAAACCAGAGAGAGGATAGTTAACAGGTACAGGAATATAGGTGGATAGGAGGAATAACTCATAATGTTTTATAGCACAGTGTGTACGATAACTATGGTTGACAAAAGCTAATGGAATATTTGAAAATAGTAGAAGGGGTTTTGAATGTTCCCAACACAAAGAAGTGATCAATGTCTAAGGTGATAGGTGATAAATCAGGATGATTGATCGTGATCTAATCATTGCATATTGTGTGTGCATATTTAAATATCACACTGTACCACCTAAATATCCACAAGTACTATGTGTCAATAAAGAATAAAGTAATTTATAGAGTTATTTACAGACACTCCTCTTGGCTACTTTGCTTTTCCTCACACTCCAGCTTTACCTGAAACCTTAAATTTCACAATTGTTCTTGGGGGAAAAAAGATGAGAATAATCTCTTCTATGAAATGAAGAAAGAAAATAACCCTACCAAAGATGAGTTATAATGAAGTATGACCTTCCTACTCCCCCAAAAGAGAATACAATGAGAAACTGATGAAAAAAGGACATTTAAATTCATTATTTATTCCCATTCCTCTTCTTGCCTTCACAGAGAGGTGTTTTTCTTCATTCAAGGCAGTTTTGTCTAGTTCAGAGCATCTTCAGAAGGATTTACGTGTTTGGGTGAGCCTGTAATCCTGCAATGACATGACTGAAGCCAATGCTTGCTGCGTGGTTCTGAGATTGAAACTACCTTTTCCTAAAATATTTTGAAGATGCATGTTTGATGTAGATTGAGTAAAAGTCTCAGAATAGAAACAAAATGAAAGCTATATTACTGGGGTTTATAGCTTCTCTCCCTTAAGCTTTTTTTTCATTTATTTTTTTAATCAGAAAAGGAACACAGCCATTTGGAAACTTATCACAAAAGTTTCTTCCTCTTCATTTCTCTTAACAACAACAGAGCAGTCTTTGTTTTCTGCCCTCCCCCTTTACCCTTTCTCTGCTTTGCCTTTTCCTCTGACCTCGTGACTCATACACAGCCACACCTATGCCCTTTATATGTTGGCTGAAAAACTGATGTAATTTATTTGAGACAAGAGCCTTGCAGCTAGAGCTGTAGAATGTGTGGATGAGATGGTTTTCCTTCATGTATTTTTCAAGTGATTGCTCTCAGTAGTATCAGTTTCTTCAAAAAGTGGTAGAAAACTGGCCCTATCACCTTCTCTCCTTTGTCTCTTTGCACGTCACCTCAGAAAACTCCTTCAAGCTCTTTTCATTGTGTAAACTCTTCAGTTGCATGCAATACTCTACCCTACACTGGCTTCTGAATCTAATTTTAAACTGCATATAGATCATTTTACTAAATCTTGTTCTTATTGAGAGTAGTTTTTTCCTGCATTTTAATCTTGCTACCAAGGCAGTGTGGAGACAGATTAAGTAATAAATTCTTGGAATAAATAGAACCTGAGAACCAGTGTGTTCTTCAGTTATATCTTATTCAATCTTCTAATTACATGATGCCAAAGTGCAAGACTGGTGGCATTGTCTATTAGCAGAAGTCCTTAGTAAGTTCTCCTGTGGCCTTCTGAGATAATCCCTATCCTATAATTCTTTATTTTACTTTATTATTTCTTTATGAAGCGTACATGTTTATTGGAACATAGATCAATTTGTAATGCTTTCAGCCACAAGTAACACTATCTGATGAACACTGGCTTAACACTTAAGGATATTTGATTCATGCCTATGCATCCAGAGGTAGTAGAGAGTCAAGGTTGGACCTAGCTCATTGAATCAAGAACTCAGGTTTTTTTCTTTGTGTGTTTTTTGTCTTTCCATTTTCTCTCAGACCTGGCATGTTGCACTTTTGTTTTCATGCCTCTTGCCCCAAATCACAGGGTGGTAGCTTTTGGGAGACATGGTCATGTGAAAGAAGAAATAAGAATAAGGGGCTAGCACTAGTGCCTTCTCTTCTAGGGGCTGTCCCTCTTCTTGGAAACCAATGCCCCCAGAAGGAAGAACCCCAATCCCAAACTTCTCCTTACATCTCCTTGGTTACAACATCCAAGACCGACCTTTGTGGTGGGAGGGATAAAAGAGAAAAAGTAGTTCAGCATGGCTTCTGATTGGCCTATCACCAGTGTCTGTCAGAGGACACTTAAAACGTACTTTGATTTGTGTGTCTATACTTTCATATCCAGAAAGGAAATGTAGCTTGAGGAGCATGGGTTCTGGAGCGACATTGGGTTCAAATCAAAGTTCCATTTCTAGATTCATCCTACTGTGAACTTCTCTGCCTGTGTTTCCTTACCTAAAACAGGAACAGTAACGTTACAAGTTGTATAGGATTGGAATGAATAACCTAAAGTTAGCGTGTAAGCACTCAGTATCATCCTGAGCTCAGCACCCTTACCTGGATAATGATCAAACCCAGAACAAATGTAATGGCTAGCAGCTTTCCCACTTTTGAGAAAGGTAGCATTTTACAGTTACTAACCTAAAACTGACTAGAAAAATCCTTAAAGGATGTATAGTCTTAATAGAATTTGCCTGCTTGCTTTAGACACTTCATAATTGACAAGTTCTTTTGTTTAGGAATAAAACACTGTAGGCCTTCTATAAATTTTTCATGTGTGGAGGCAGCATGGTGAAAGACTTATTTTGACTAAAATGTATCAAATCAAGAATAGGAGACCGTTTTCTTTAATTTGAAATATATACACACATGCACATGCTTGTGTACATACACACACAAGAGTTCTATATAAGTGACTTGGATAGAAACAACGTCAAAAACAATACTAGTTAGGGCTAGAGAGAAAAGTCTTTCCAGTGTTCTCAGCTGTTAGAGAAAAGAGACAAAAGGGAGTCGAGATGTTTGAAATTGTGTAAATATTCAATAAATAGTTGATGATGAGGGAAATTCTTTTGAATATGATAAGCATCAGAAAGTAATTGGAAGTTCTGAAAACTTCATAATGTTCCTGGTAACTGCTACACATAGTAGCATGAGAACGAAAAGTGGATAACCCTACAGAAGAGCAATGGAAGGAAATGGAGAACAGCTTTGGGACTGTGGTCTCATAGGCTGGAGATGCACTCACCCTGGAAGGATCCTTCCAGTTGAGTTACAGGAAGTAGGAAAGAGAATAAATAGCCGTACCCAAGCTAGGTTCACACAAGCCCTGCCTCACATGGGGGAGGCTCAAGTGATGACAATGTGAGCCATAATAGCCAGCCTGTCACTGAAAAGCAGAGGACATCTTAGACTCCATCTTAGACTCTCTTGTGCCTGGGTGTTTGGGATGTGTGTTCTACCTGGTAGCCATAACTCCCTGTTGCCATTACTTCCCCAAATAGCGCAAACAATAACTAAAATGATAACTTCTTATCTAAATCACTAAATCAGTCTCCTGTAGCTGCTGCTTCTCATGAGCCCAGTAAGTACTCAAGTAATTGGTCAGTTTGGGGAATGAAGTCAAGCATTCCACAACCGTTCAAGGTCCGCAGGCAGTCAACACCCAAGGTGTGCTGCCCATTGGCCTTTGCAAACTGCATACTGACTACCATTCTTCTCTGACTTTGCCTCCAGAAAACCCGTTATGAAAATTATGTCAGCATTCTGAAAGAAGGAGGCAAGCAGCTCCTGAGTCATGATGAAAATGAGGCTGCCGGTCTGAAGAAATCACACTCTAGTCCTTCGCTGAACCCAGATTCCTCTCCGATCACCGCCAAGGTCAAGCGTAATGTGTCAGAGAGGAAGGACCACCGACCGGAAACACCGAGCATTAAGCAAAAAGTTACTTAGAATCCATCTGAGGCCAGGAAGTGCTGGTCATGGAGCAAAATAGGGGTTTTCAAGATCTTTCTGGTAATCCGTGAATATATTTAAAAAAAAAGTCTGTGACTAAACGGTGCATTAGTAACTTTTTATATTGTATATTTTTGTTAGTTTCTGTACAGATTGTCTTTGCTCTTGATTTCTTTGCTTTGATGATTTTTTGCAATTTGATAACTAATGCACCTTTTTGTGAGGAGTTAGAGGATCATGATTTCAGGATGAATTCTGCATCCCTTCTCCTTTGGTTTTCTCTTATTTGCACTCTACTCAGTTGTTTTATGTATTCTCAAATCAACCGTTATTCTTTTTTTAAGGTTAAATAATTTAATCCATTATGAAACACTTAACTGGACAAACTTTGTAGTTTAGTAAATTCTAGCCAGAGTTAACATAAACCTTTATATGTGAAATCTTGCCCAGTCATGGAGGTGAAGTTGAATACTCACACATACTTAAGTGAGAATTACAATGCTGGGAATCAAGATGTTCCAACGTGATGTAGCCCTGCGTGAAGCTGAGCACTTAGTGTTGAGTTCTGACCCTTCTGGAAGCAGGGAGAGGGGATGTGAGGACCCAGGTCTGGAGAACTTGGGGAAGAATAGGAGCTTGCTTGAAGTGTGGATACTATTCCAACCAAGCAAGGGGAAGAGGAAGTAGAGTGATTTTGCCATTGAAGGCTGAGGACAGATGGGTACCAAGTTAATTTGGTTTTCTGAAGGACAGTGGCAATAATCGGCTCTTGGGGTAGCTACAGCAATAGACATGTGTTTAGTCTGCAGGAAATTGTTACTTCACTCCCACGGGGTCTAGACTAGGAATCCAGAATCATCTCTATCGTTGACACACTTCCACCCAGGAATAGATTCTTTTTTATGCTACGTATATGTATATATAGGCATGAGGTCATCTCCTGGTTGTTAGGATATTGGGGTCTTCCTAACAAAATGTGGAAAATGGAGCTCCTTTTGTTCTTTACTTAAGCCAAGACAATACAAGGGAGCAAAAATCAGCTGCAGTTCTTCAGCAGTGGATATTGATTCTTAAGGCTAAGTCTGAAAGTAATAGTTTGAATGGGTTGTGGTTGAAAATGGAAGAATCTGCTGGTTGCATATGCAGAATTTCTTAGTTTATTTTTATCTCAGTCTCTTTGATAGCCACTTCACTCTGTCACTGTTAAACTTGCTCCTAAAAATTCTTTGTCTATTTTAAATCATTTGTATGTACTCAAAATAGTTCTATCCACCATACAGTCACAAGCTGTATCTGTGACAGTCCCTTTGAAATTCAGGCTGATAAACAGAATAATCTTTTCTAGAGGAGGAAAAAGGAGTGAAGGTTCAGTGCCCTGTGACTTAGAAGGTTCAGATTTCTAAACCTTGAAACTGAATTCCCTAAAGCTATCATCTTCCCAAACAACACAACTTCAGAACTAATGGAATTATTCTGAATATTCTTTTTCCTCCCGTAGACATTTCCTCTACTTCTGCTTTGTTTTTTAGTTGAAGGTACTATGACCAAAGAATCAGCTGCTCTGCATGAATAGCATGGTCCAAGTGGATTAAAGAAAACCTGCTATAAAACCATGGTATTTCTAGTGATATATTGTTAGGATGTACTCACATTTAGTTACATGATTATTGATTAATGTTTACTTCCCCTATTCAAGTGTCCATATTTGTTGGTGTACAGAAAAGAGTAACCCCTCTGTATGGTTGTAGTTACTTGCTTCATGATATTTTACTACACCTTTGAAAAACTTACTCTGTCCTCTATTGTGTAGGTAAAGGCAATGTCTGAATTTATGTTTCAGAACTATGAAACACATTAGTCACCAACATAGCCCATATACCTGAGTCATTTTGGTAGCTTCTTATCAAATCTAAGGTTTCCATAAGCAAGTTGTCTTTCTTCCTGAAATCAGAGTTATCAGTGTTTGTTTTCTGCCTAAATATTTATCCTAGTTGAGGAGAAAGAGAGGTACTTAGACCACATGACCTATGAGCTTCAGTAACTGAAGAAAAGTTGACATCCCTGACTAGCTTGAATGTGTTTACCCACAGTGTGTATCTATGTATATAGAATGTTTATGTATATTTTTCTTAGCGTGTATAATGCATATTGAATGGTACCTTGCTGCAGTATTTCTGATGTTTAGAGTAGTCTTAAAATACTCAGTTAGCATCAGCACCACCATAGCACTGGTCCTGTTATGGGACTTATTAACATTAACTTCAGAGACTCTCAGACATGCTAATGGATAGTCAGATGACAAGATGACAAGGGCACTTTTGAAGCAGCAGTTAACAACAACTTTAAGGTTCTTTTGTGGGCCAGGATCCCAGACTGCCAGTCGCTGGTCATGTGATACTGTCCATCTACAGGAGATGGGCTGAAAACACCTCTGGGAGAAAGATGTCTGCTGTCAGTGTGTGTTGCAGGCCAAGACTTATCCTAGGGCAGGAAATAGTCTCTGATTCAACTGGCTTCTGAGGGTCTGGTCCATAGACAGCCACTTTTTCTGTTGTGATCATTTCTTCTCAATGGTATATAGTCGAAAGAAATGGAAGGTGTTTCCTTTCGGAGGTATGTTTAACCTTGTACAATTCACGGTACTGAGGAGTTGTCCTCCTCCTGCCTTTCTGAAGGTACTCCTCCACACCCCTTTCCACCTCACTCCTCATCCCTGCCTCGTAGCCCAGGGACCTTGGGATTTCTCTCCATGTGGAAAACCATCATTCTTTTTCATACATATACTTTCAATATTAATTTTTAGTGTAGGAAATCTTGATAACTCATCAAAATACCTTGTTACAAATTGACCAAAGAAGTGGCCCATGTATAAAATCCTTGTGTATTTTGGGGTTTGCCACCACTTCACATACTGGCTTTTGCATGGAGGTATCATGTACTTGTCATCAATCAAACTGAGTTACTAGCATATAGAGTCTTTCCAGACCATAGACATTTCTGAAATACAGATTTCTTTAACCAGTTACTTAAGTCTTAGCATTGTCTAATTAAACCAAGCAATATTTTTGTGCATTTTAAATTAATCTCAGTAAAATCAACAGGTGGGTGAGTCCTCTGGTTGCAGTCATTCCTAGAGGATATGGAACTTCTTCTATTGCTCTTGGGTAAAGCGAGCTTTCTCACACGGCAGTCTTGTGCTGTCTGCAAGACCCTAGATGCTTCTCCCACTGGCATCCTAATCCAGGAGGTGAGGACTGTTTCCTATGTAGAAATGATACTAGGAAATTAATTCTGGAAGAGGAAATTCTGGCTGACTTTTCAAAGACCAGCTAGGTTTGTATTTTACCATGTGGCCAGACCACTGAACTTCTAAAGTTGGGGGAGAATTGCATAACTAACAGAGAAAGAGGACTTTTGCTGCGTAAGTACTAAGTTACACAGAGTTTTTGGCTGTCTTTGCCCACTCCCCACAAAGGCCCAAGAAGTTGTTCTTAGATAAAGCACAGCCCTGCTTTGCCCTGAACTGTGCCTCTTTTCTGCCCTTTTCCCCCTAATCATTGACAATGGGAAGAAAACTTTCTAGAAATCAGCTTCTCCCTTGTCTTCTTGCCAAGACCTTTTTCAGTTCAGTTGATTATCCTTAGAAATTGAATTCTTTGGCATTTTTCCTTGTAATATCACTTATTTCACTCAGCCTCAGTTCACAGTAAGTTTCTTATGTATGCAGGTCCAAATCTCTAGTTTTAGTTCTTATGGACTCAGCATAAGTTTTTAGCAGGTCCATAGCCACTTTCCTCAATTTTAGCAGAGAATGATCCCTTTACTTTTTTAAACAATGGAATTTTGTTTTCAGTTGTAAAACTAGCACTGTAAACCAAAAAACCAATGTGGCATCCTAACACTTGTTTTTAAAAATAGAGTCCACTTTATGAATGATAGTGCAACTTTGAACTTAATAGTATCCGCCTAAATAGATTAGTGAGTTTTGTGAGCAAATGAGCCTCTGGGCCTACCTTTCTCCAAAGCTTTCTACCCTTTTAATCCAGGCCAGGCCACTGGTCTCTTTCAAGGTCAGCAGATCTCTCCCTCCACCAGTCTTTTAACATCTTACACCATCAAATCATCCAAAGATTGTAGAGATAACCACAGTGTAATCCTGTGATCAGTTATTGGTAGAGATACAGAGGTACTTTGTCACTGCTTTTCTTTTTGGATTCCTTTTCCGTCTCTTCCTCTTAAAAGAAGAACTGAAGTCCAAGGTCACCCTCCTTTTATACCTACAGTATCCAACCCAAGCCAGGCAACCTTCTGCTTAGGACAGTAATTGGGCCATTGCATGCAGAGAGAATGTCTTCAGAGAATGTCAGTAAATACTTGAATCTTCATGACAGTTTGTTGACTTGAATGCAACAGCAAGAAATATGGCAAGTTAATTGTATATACAATAGGTTTCCTTAGGTCTCTTGGCTCATCCTTTGTAATTTATGTGTGTATCTGTTGTATTGTAGGCTTTTGGAAATATTCGTAGACAGTAACGTCGGATGTGAAAGATAGCGCTTTCTGTTGCGTGCCAATTTTGTATTCGTGGGTATTTATAGTTGTATGTATGTATATGCATCAATGTGTAGATTGTGTATCAGTATATGGTATATGTACATCAAAGTTATTTTGTCTTTAATAACCAGTGTGATAGGAAAAGCAAGTAAAAACCTCCTAGGACTGATTATATAATGCAGTTGTTGCAAATACATATAGTGGTATTGTTTTATTTGACTTAAATTCAAATGATATTTTGATTAACTTTTAATAAAATTTTGTGCTAGGAAATTCCATCTGTGAGGTGTGAATCTCCAGGGCAAAGGTGACTTTGAACTAAATCATGTGAATCTGTTGAAGTGTACAGTCTGCAATACTGAGGGGTTAGCTCATTATAATTTTGGAAATACAGAAAGGAAATGGGGGAAAAAAGGCAACCTGTGCCATTTTAGTAACTTTAATATTAAGAGCACTTAAACATAAAGTTGAACTGACAGTTGTGGGCTTATTACAAAATGTGATGCTCACAGCGCACATTCTTTATTGTTGTAATTAGTCCAGAATATATAGCTTTCAGAAGCATTAAGTAAGTTGCCACCATATAATTTATGTACCTATGTATATTTTACAGTGGCTCAAACCACTCTCCTGGTGCCACATCCTTACCCTCTTGAAAGAAATATCACAAATGCTAAAGTATATCAGGGCATCCCAAGATTGGGTACTGTATTCCAGGTGTGCAGTTGCACAAATTAGCAACTGGGTCACAGGTAAAAGGACTCTAGGAACCAGGTTAAAACTTTATTTAATATTTTTATACTTAGGTCTCTTTTTCCTGCCTCTTCCCAAAGAAGAGCCACTGGCCTTAGTTGTTTGACTTGATTGCTTATATTATAGAGTGTAAATAGATAACTAGAGACTAAAATTTTATTAACCAGCATGTTTGGTGTATTTAAAGCAGCGACTGAGTGTGTTTGAGTGTGTGGTTGAGTGCAGTGTCTTTTGTTCAAACACACTGCCTCATGTCTTTGTATCTGATTCAGAGAATTGGAATTGTGGGGTAGGAGTCTAATCTTCAACCCCAGTCTGCAGTAGTGTCTTGGTAGTTACACTTAGTTTTTTTAATTAACTCTACAGTCTCAAACTATTTTTGCAAATATATATAATATTTCCTAATTTGTTCTTGACGTGCAGAGGACTGACTCTGTAGATGATCAGCAAGATCTGCAAGAGTATTTCTAGTTCTGCAAGAGTATTTCCTTCTGAGAATTATTTGTGATTTGCAAAAAAAGAAAAAGCCTTTTGATTCAGAAATCATATGGAAAAAGAGTAGTGAAAATAAAAGTTTTATTTTGGGCCTTAGTCATTCGAAATGTTTGGATTTTAATAAAAAGCCATGAAGGCTGTAAAGCCAAATAACCATTTGACATGGATATTAATATCTACTTTAGAAAGAGTGTGTGTGTATATATATATATATATATATATATGCACATTGATTTTTAATGCCATTAAAATGCTTTTTTAAAGCTATAGGAACAAGAGTAATTAGACCAAATTGAAGTGGAGGGGTTGAGTAGGCTGCCTACCACTTAAGCTAAGCAGTGAATGTGTTCAGTCCTCTGCTCCTAAGAAATTCAGAACCAGTTTACTGGCCCTTAAAGGTGTAGGGAGAAAGTTGATGAGTCTGGGCCCTCTTCTGTATACACTTGCTTGCACACATGCACACAGTCAGTGTTTAAAGTTATACAAATGTAAGACCTTAAGACACAAAGGGCCGAAGTATTATAAAGAGATGATGAACAAATGAGGAGAATCTATGTCACAGATGTTTTCTAAGGACCGAGGAGAAATTGGGGCTCTTTTGTCTGACTCTGAGATGCATTGCATTGTTAAAAAGGAGCAGGGGTTACCTGTCACATCCTTCCTGGTGGGCCACAACTTGAAGGTGTTCTTGTAGTTCACAAGCAGCAGCTCTCCATCATCTCCCAGTACCTCGGTAGCCTGGGGGAAGATCCAGAAAACTGGCATGCACCATTTTCCAAGGTACCCAAGCCACTTGCTCTACAGGTCGTTCCTTTAAGAAAGGACCAGCAGTGGACAAGCACTTTTCCACAGAAGTGCACATGACCTTCTGAGCTGTACTGATGAGAGCTCACACTGAAGAAGGATGCTGGGTATTTGAGCACTTTTCCATCAGCAAGGACAGTGAGGAGAGAACCTAGTGAAAATAGCAATTCCCTTTGCAGGGTAGAGAGCTAAGCGCTCACTAATAGTGTTATAAAATAAGCACCTTAACTTCAATTCCTGAAAAGATTGGCTAATGGAGAGAATTTTGGAGATTCACCTAAGATTTTCCCTTGGTCTCCAAGTTCAACCACTCTTAGGAGTCTCAGCCACAAGGCTCAGTGAAGGACCATGGTGCAGGTTTGAGGCTCACTGTTGTGAACCTGAATAGCAGAGCACCACAGAGGGAGATAATGTCCCCTCTATGGAGCTTCTCCCCTGGCCTTCCGCTCCACTTGGACTTCTACTGAGCAGCACATCCTGGGTTTCAAATGCTTTAGGAATCCAGCTGTCCCAATGGGTTGACCCGGCTGAAGGCAAGACACCAACTCTGAGAGTGACTGAGTCACTCAGGGTGGCACATGATAAAGGTAATGAAAAAATCCTCTGCCTGAAGCAAAGATCACAGATTTTGCCTTTGCAAGAAACAAACCAGTACCTTGAGCTCTAACCAGGGTTGGATGATATCTTTGCCTTCACACCTAGATTTCCAGAAATGAACATTGTTTCATTTCTGTGGGAAGGGTCAAGAATCATTAACTTGCTCAGCCATTCTGCTCTGGCCAGATGAGAGCTGTTGGGTAAAGGCCTGCATGCCTCCCTGCACCCTCTTCTACCTCAAGTTTCAGAAGCCCATTTCTAGAACAGAAATTTACACAAGTGGAGAACCCACATTGTTAGCCTTGGTTACTCTGGGACATGCAGAAGGGTGGTAATTTGTATCTTCTAATATAAAACAAGACTTACTTTTCCAACCTATTAACTGGATTGTATTCACTGTGGCTCAAACCAGTTGACAGTGTGGAGCATTCCTTTACCTCCAGAGTTTTCTCCTCCAATCATTTCAGTTCCATTGCAGTCCTGGTGCCATATGTCCCCTGCAAATTGTGAAAGTAATTAGTGACAAACTAGCAGCCTACTCCTTTTTAGTGGCCAAACTGTCAGCATCAGCAGACTTGGGTAAGCTAAGCTAGTGGTGCCGTATTATGTACTAGAAACCTGTTCCTCATTATCATGTACCAGATTTGAGAAATGCCATCTAGAAAATCGTGGCATTTATGGTGGTCCTCTTTTGGATGGAACAGTAATTTATGTGGATATTGTTAAAGTGTTTAAAGACTATTTTGAAAATTAAGTTTACATTTTACAATTGCTTTATTTTTATTAAAATAGTGTATATAAATATTACCCTATTTCACTGTTATTAAAGTAAAACTAACCCTTGTAGACAAGTGAGTCACCTGACATGTATAGAAGCTGTGATATACATAGTACATTTCTCTATTATGTAAATGTTAAATGAATATAACTGTTCCTGTGTTTTTATAAGTTGAGGGTATTTTGTTGTTTCATAACAACAAAAATTATCACATTTAAAATGGTTTTTATGTAATAGAAATCATGCAAAATAGTGAAGGATTTAAAATATGTATATGGTATATGTTAAATGTACAAACTTTAGAAAGAAATAAATCCAACAAATTTCAGTCATTTGGGGGAATGTTTTTCTTTGTTTATTTAAGCAACTAGAACAATATCTTTAAAAATAAATAACCCAACACCCTAACCCCCCTCCATGAAAAGGCAACCAGGATACCCAAGGTGAAAGATTTGGTCACTGTAACTGACTGAGGAGGTAAGGAAGTTAACTTGTGAACACTGATTCACCTCCTGGACTTCCGTGAAGATTTGTGTGTGCAAAAAAAAAAAATGTTGGTAGGTACTAGTAGAAACTTCAGAGGCTTGTCCTGATGGGGGAAGGAGGCTTTGAGCAGAGGAAGAACAAATGAACTTTTTGAGGCAATTTCAAGAATCATTTGCTTTCCCTTTGGAAACCATGGAATTAATTATTGTCCTGCAGTGCAAATGCTGACCTCCAAATCACTGCTTTCTTGTGGCTAGTGTGTACCTTTGTGTTCTCTTAATGGAACCTAATGTTAAATTAAGATCTGTTGACTTGGAAAATGAAAAATAAAATTCCACCCAAAATTCTGAATACTGGAGAAAATGTCTTATGTTTTGGGGTCTGGTTTTGTTTGTTTTTGTGATGCTAGAAATTCAACTCAGGGCCTCATACATGCTGGACAAGTGCTCTACCACTGAGCTGTCACCCCAGCCCTGGATTTGGGCTTTTTAAAATGACATCTCTAACAAAATCCTCTTAAACCTAAATAAAGGTGGTGCTTGGCAGAAAACTGCTGTGGTACACAAATCTGAGAAATAAAAGTTTTGTGGGATGTAAACCTTTCAATACCCCTTGGCTTCTCTTTAAAATCCCTGTTTAAGATGTGAAACTCAAACAACAATCTCTCATTGCCCAGTTGCCTGTCCTCCAGAACTAGTTTGGTGTAATGTGTCACATTCTCTTGTGTTTCATAGCTAATAATATCAGAACCAGAGGGACCATAGAGATCATTTTTAAAGAAGAACACTCCAATGAGGAAACTAAAACCCAGGGCCAATTAAGATATTACAAGGAAGCAATGAGCAAGTGGAATTGTTTCATCTCTAGATTAATTCTATTCAACAGCACTGGGAGATTCACCAATGAGACTGTTAAATCACTGTCAAGTGTTATTGAAAAATTGTTTCAACCAAGAAGAGAACAAAGAAAATAACATTTATTTGGAGTTAATAGGATTATAATCCAGATGCAGAAAAATACAGATTCAAGTGGTCTTTAAAATCTGCTCCAATGTTTTACAAAATGACAGCTGTGTTTATAGCTTTAAACCACAAAGGCATTGGAAATGACATCACTTGTTAGGGATGTAGCTCAGGGTCAGCTTGTATCTGTAGATAGGTGTGTCTGAGATCTGATTAACAGCAGCATCCTGACTCCATTTGGAGGGCTCCAAAACCATGCTAATCCATTTTTATTTTTTCCTCTCCAGTAGTAAAGAACAAAATACTTGAGATGGGGATACAAAAAGAAGAGTGATTTTTCTATACTGTGGACCAGTGGGCTTGATATTAATGCTGGGGATTTTTGGGGAGTGACTAAGAAGGGAAGCAGCAATTATTGGAAGCCAGCAAGGGTTTCCAAGAAACCATTTCAGACTCCATTCATTTCCTTTTTGGTAAAACTAACTGATCAATTAGGAAAATGCAGTGGAAAAGCCATACTGGCCCTAACAAGGAACTTAATGTGGTCTTTGATCCAGTATATCTGGGCAAAATGAAGAGAAGTATGATGTGGACGTTCCTACAGTTGGTGGGCATGTAGCCACTTGAACAGCACTAATTAAAGGATGCACACCAACCTGGAAGAGCAGTTCTAGTGTCCTGCTGCAAAGCTTGCCTTTGGCCCCATCTGTTCAACATTTTAATTAATCATGATAGAAGCTACAGAAGGCGAGTTTATGAAAAATGGGTATGTCACAAAGCTGGGAGAGAATGATTATACTAAATGGCAGAATCAGGATTCAAAAAACAAAAATCTCATCAGGCAGAGAAATGGGACAAGTTAACAATGTGAAATGGAAGAGGTGGTAATACCTTACACTTTAGATGAAAAAACACTCAATTATACAAGGTCAAGGAAGGACCTTGGGTAGTGTAGCACACTGATCATGTGGGAAAGAAGGCCTCCAACTGCACAGCAAACTCAGTGAAAGTCAACAGGATGATGCACCCACCAAAAGCGCTGATCCATGTTGCATTTCTAAAGCAAGGATGGTGAGTTGCACCAGGTGACACAGCAACAAGACTAACCCTGGAGAAAGTGCAGCTTGGCGTGTTCACCACCCAGAAGTGTGCACAAGCAGTAGCCAGGACAGTAACACGTGCGAACAATGAAATAAGATGAACACGGAAAATGTGTGAACTGGCAATGATCAGTCCATGACAGAACTAGCGAAGACTGGTTTTTTAAAATGTTTAAATGTGTCTTACTTGGGAGGGAAATGAGAACTGCCCTGTAACAATGTAAGAAAGTTTAACTCAGGGGCCGGGGATTTAGCTCAGTGGTTTAGCCGCCTGCTGCACAAGAGCAAGGACCCGAGTTCAATCCCCAGTACCAAAAAAAAAAAAAGAAAAGAAAAGAAATTGATTGGTAGTGGAAACTACAAGAAATGAATGCAACTCAAGGAAGATTTTCCAGAATTGAAGGTGGTGAGTAGCTGAGTTAGTGTAATGATGATTGATATTAGCAAACGTACTTACCAAGAAGTTATGTGCCTGGCATCATACTAAACACTTAGCACAAATTCTATTTTACACCATTTTTTTGCATAATTCCATGGTGCAGTTCTATTATTTTCTCCATTTTAGAGTTGAAGGAAAACTCAGCAGGCTGTCTGTCGTCAGATGTTCTGCATCACAGCTTCTATTTTGAGCTATAGAAGTCAGATCTGACTGCTACCTTTCTTGTAAGCCTAAGATCTGGGGATCAACAACTACATTCACAGATGTATTAGTCATTTTCCTGTTACTGAGACAAAATACCCAACACCTGCAACTTAAAGGAGCAGGGGTTTATGTTGGTTCACAGTTTCCAGTAGGTTCAGGCCATCATTGGCTGACATCAAGGCAGAAACTGCAAGGTAGAGGTCATGGCAGAGGAAAGCTGCACACTCCTGGAAGCCAGCAAGCAGAGTGAAGGGAAGAATGGTAGACAAATCCACAGATGAGAAGAGCACCCCTATGATCCAATCATCTTCCAAACACATGAGACTGGGGGCACATTTTTGGATCTAAACCATAACAACAGAAATAAGAATGTATGTGTTGTTCAGGAGGAACCGGCAGTAAAAATAGCTCCTTTCACTCCACAGTAGAGTCATGTGGATTAAAAAAAGCCAAGTACAGTAAGTGCCTGGGTCCCACCCAAGAAACTCTGAAGTGCATCTGAGGCACTGGGAATCTGAAAAGCTTCCTGTGTGATTCTAATTGCAGCCAGGCTTAAAAACTACTTGCTTGGAGCCTGGCAACATAATTTGCTCCTGTCACATCTCCTGGGAGCTGGTGAGCAAAGGGAACTCTCAGGCCTCCTCCCAGCCGCAGTGAGGCCACAGATTGTGCATGGTACCCAGATCCCCGAGTGGTTTTTATGCATCCAACCCCAGAAGCACTGCTTCGGTGCTGTTCCCAGAAAGTACCCCCTGAAGCAGCAGAAGCGGCATCTCCTGAGAACCCCTTAGCAAGGCAGTGCTCTGCCCTGCCCTAGGACCTACTGAATCCTAGACCTGTGAGTGTGACTCAGCCAAGGGTGCCCAGCCCTCCATGTGACCCTGATGGCTATGCAGTTAGATCCAGCCCTTCAGGTTAACTCACATGGCTACGGAAGCCCCTGTGCTCACAAAGGGCAACTCTTTGTTTCCTGTCATTGCCGTGATGGATGCATTGCTGCCCACTGTCACTTGCACCTGTCCTGGTGATAAAGGAGGTCCAGACCATCACCGTGGTGCAAAGAAATGCAATCACAACAGTTCTGCTGAGGTAACCAGGGGACTCCCTTACTGGCAGAAGTGAGGGGGTAAGTCTCGGCTTATCTGTGTGTGCATGTATGACTGAAAATTAAACCCAGAGCTTTCTCACTAAACTATATCCCCAGCCATATTTTATTTTGAGACAGGGTCATGCTAAATCATTAAGTTGTTCAGGCTGGGCTTGAATGTGTAATCTTCCTGCCTCAGCCTCCCAAAGTGCTAGGGTTACAGGTGTAGGCCACCACATCCTATTGAAGCTCACCCTTCTGTAAGTAGGTCTCCCTCCCAACCCTCCCTCCACACCCCCAGGCCCTTGGCTCCTTCCTGCCAATCCAAGTTCCTACGCTCACCTACAGGACAAACTGCCCCGCTTCTAGGTGAGCTTTCCCAGCTGCTTAGAGTTAGTTCTCTCCTAAATACGCAAGGGACCTCATCCAGCCCCACTGCCAAAATGTGCAAGAGACAATCAGGACATGCAAGTGTGTATCTGGGCTACTCTCACCCACTGGACTGTCAGTAATAGCACTGTGATAAAATACAGCACACCAGGTTACATTTGAATTTCAGACAAAACAATGATTTTAGTGTATGTGCAATGTAATATATAGAGAAAACTTGTACTGAAAAAAATAACCCAGCATTTATTGTTTATCTGAAATTCAAATATAATTAAACATCCTGTGTTTTATCCCACCTGCCCTTCCCTGGAAGTATCCTAGGATCGCATCACCTCATGAATTTACCCCTTGTCGGTCAGAAAAGGAATACTGCCAATACCTTTGGTTTAATCAGACTTATGGAAGCTTGTTCAACTTGTTCTGAGTGCTTATTCAAACTTAGATAGGATTAAATGCCAATAATAAAAATAAAACCTTCCTGTGGCCTCAAATATAGTTATGGTGGTGACAAATACATTGTCCTTTAGGCAGATCTACAGAGAAATTGTAATTTGAATTTTACTAGCTCCTAAAGGCAGAAAGTATGTCTTGCTCAACTTAGTGCAAGATACTTCACCATGGAGCAGGTATCCCAAGTAGCTGTTCGATAAATGTGTCTTGGATGGAATCAAAATAAGAGGCTTTGGTGATGCTAGGCTGTGTCCTTCCACCAAGATTATTTGCAGGTCTTTTCCTCTAATGCAGAAATCAACTTGTCTGTTAATCAGAGAATCTGGGGCCATAGCAGCCCTGACCTGTGCTCAGCCTCCCCTATACTTTCTGATTGACAGAGTTATCAGTGAGCACAGCAGTTAAGAACAAGGATTCTCGAGTCCAGATGAGCTGCCTTTCTCTCCCTACCCTGCCACTCACTGGCTGAGTGACCTCAAGATACCACATAATCTCTGTATCTGTTTGCACATTTAACATGTGAAGAATAATAATGAATTCACAGAGTTGTTATGAGTCTTGGATGACAGTGGGGACAAACTGGCCCCTGCGGGACAGTGCATCAGAAAACGATGTAGCAAAGGATGACACTTTGGCCTGCTGAAGGGATGCCCACTGGAAGGGCCTCAGAAGCCAAGTCTTCCTGACCACCTCTTGCTCTCCTTCCTGCCCCAAGGCAG